TGAAACTCTCTCTCCAAATCAGCACCATTTGAAATTCAGATAGATTTTACCTTTGTTTTAGAGTAATGTGAAAATCTAACTGAAACTAAAAGCAAATAGTCAGTGCAGTTCATCAGGTATAAAAAGGTTCTTACATTCTCTTTGAAAATTAAATTTTTTATCTGGGCCTAAACCCTGCTACTGTTAGAGGGAGTGGGGAAAGAAAATACTATAGGGAAAAGATTTAAGGAATGCTTTCAATGTTAACAGATATGGGCCATATGCAGACTCTCATATGGGTTAAACTGGTTCAAATCTCTAACACAACTGAAGTTCAGTGTACATAAATCACTTTCAAAATGACCAAAACTAGTTTAAGATAAACCTGGTTGGATGTAGAATTAGACTTAACTGATTTAAGTTAAATCAGTTTATTGAACTTCTGTCCCAGTTCCCCTCCAGATTCAAGTAAACTCTCAGTCCCCGTCCCCCCCATCCCCTGATGCTTTGCACCTTCACAGGGTCGGCAGGCTAGCCTTGGCCCCAGCTGTCTGCTCCAGCTGAGCAGGGAGGCGTGCTCTAGGGCCCCCCAGTTTCTGGAGCCACTGTAGGCATGTAGCTACATATCTGGAATCAAAAGTGAATGTCTGTTCACTTGTTTATTGGTTCATTTTAGACTAATCTGTGAAGAATTAATCAATTCAGACTTAGACTTTTTGAATGTTGGTACTTAACCTTGCAGGCTAATGTTTATAAGGTATTGTTGGACAAATACTTAAAAATAATTGGTGGCAATCACATTTATTTATTTTTTTTGGTTACTGGTATTGTTTAAACTGCAGGTGTAATATATAAAATGACAAGGCTCTTCATCAGAAAGGTTTGCGGTCTTAATTCAAAATCTGGAAAGCATCTTAGTGACGTTAACTGCAGCTGTGCGAGAGTGAAAAGGTCCATCTTCTTAGAATAGCTTGCCCATAATAGGGTCTAAATCAAATAGAGAGTTCCATGATCAATGATAGCACACTGTGTTTCCAAGAGGAGAAAGGGAAATGGTGGACAGATTCTGAAGGCTTCATATTTTTTGGATACCAGCTAATTATAATGATTTTTTGTTTCCTACACCACAGTCTCTGTCTAAAACTGCAGGAAAGAATAGGGGCTCTTTTTATTGAATAAGTGCTTAAATTACAGGAAATAAATATAAAAGTTGTTAGTTTTATGAAATCTGTTGATCATATTTTAATGTGTTATATACGTATGAAAAAGGTTGAGAAGAAGAAGATCCAAGAAGAAGTTTTAAGCCTGATTTTCAAGTGCAAGATGGCCCCTTTACGTCACATTGATAGTAAACAGACAGCGTCAAGTGGCTCACTGTAAAATAGCCTTCCTATAAATGAGAACCAGGCCCTTTATTTACATATTGTAACAGTAAATGTTATAGATCACAAAATGTTTTACAAAGGAAATAGGTATCTTTAACATTATGTTATGCATAGGGAAGCTGACGCATAGAAAGGTCAAATTACTTGCCCAGTATCACCAGCAGACCCAGGAAAAGAACTCAGACATCCTGAGCACATCCAGACAAGTGCTGATATGTGGTGCTGGAGACCCGTCTGTGGTGCCACATGCTGCACGTGCAAACATTTCCTGCGCTGCTACTTTGGAGTGTAGGGGCATTTTTTGACCATGGGAGATGCCACGGTTAGAGAAAAAAAGTGGGGCGTTGCCCCATTTTTTTTGCAGCAGATTTTTTTATACCAGGAGTTCCTGGTATCAAATGTTGGTGCTGCATGCAGCATGGTGAATGGTTGCATGCATGCTGTATGTGGTTTGCAGCTCCTCAAACAGTTTTGAGGTGTGCTCCCTGAGTCCCAGTCTAGTGCTCTATTCATGAGGCCAGGCTGACTCATATAAGCACAGTTAAAAGCCTGACGAAGGGTTTTTGAACCCGAAAGCTTGCTTAATAAATATTCTCCAACTATTTGGGTTGGTCTAATAAAAGATATCAAATTCACTCAAGGAACCTTGTCTGCCTATGATGCTTTTTACACATACAGAAATAACTTGCACCAAAACAAATCCTGTTCTGAGTACTAAAGTGAAGTTATTATGCAAGTGATAAGTGTTCATACTATTTAAAATAAGTTTTCATTTTCAAGGTTGTGAGCAGATGCAGGTTATGAACTATGTAGAGCAAGTCCCCAGCTAGTTCAAATTATCATGACTACATTGATGACTGTGACAAGGTGCATTTCTGAGGTTCTATTGCATTGTGCTTAAAAGCAAGAAATACAGCTTCTAAAGGAAGAGTAGGTGGAACTTACTTCTTAGAAACTTTCCAGCAACCCTTTTTAGGTTGGAAAATGCTGATTAGTGTAAACAAAGACTTCTTGTGGGAATTTGCAAGTTACAATGAATCTTCTACTAAGAAAGTTTTTCTCACCAAAACAAGAAAGTATGTGTGTGTGGCAGAGGAGGACTTAATTCTTAAGACCAGTTTAAGACATAGTGGGCACATCTACACAAAACTTTAATTTTACTGTGGAGCTGCCTAATTAGCTCTGCAATGGTCTCATCATCTACACATGTGGCCCTATTAGTCCACAGTAAACTAATTAACTCTGCCATAAGTAAATACAAGTACTATCCTATGGTGGTGTTATTTAATTGCATGTGTAGTTGCTGGCAGGTCTGGCTAGGGCACAAGGGTGCTTCAGCGCAGGTGCTGCCTCCCAGCTAGCCCTCACACTAAAGCACCCTTGTGCCCCAACCAGCCCCTTTGAAACATGTTGAGCTAAGTCAGAGCAGCCTCAGTCAGGCAATCTGACCCCCCAGTTTCCCTTCCAGCTGGGGCTGCTCTAACATGGCTCAACATGCCATGGTCCTGGGCGCATGTGTAAACACACAGTATGCTCCAGAGTTTATTGCATTGCATTAATTTCATGTGTAGATGAACCCAGTAAGATCAAGTTCAAGTCCTTTCTCTGGCTTATTTCACACTCTGAACTTGAATTTTATTTTCCACATTCCAGATGATGCCCTAACTTCTGGGCTGTTACATACTGGCTACTTGGTAGGGGTGTCTCTCATCTTATGCAGACATCTTTGAAAGGCTTTAGTTTCATTCCAGTTTACAAAGGGAACATTTTTGAAATCTCTAAAACTTTCCTGGCATAGAAAACCTGTTGCTCGCTTGGCTTTAGCCATAAGTTATAGCTTGACACATTTTGTACAGTTTAAGAACATTAAAGAGCACATGTCCAACCCCAGAATTACTGAACAGCATGATAGTGCTGGCTTATTCATCCAGCAAATCACTGTACGTTTTACAGATTTTTCAATGCTTCTGTTTATATCCTTGTCTAAAATCTCTATCCACTGTAAACAACCTTCCCTATAGATATAGATTCCCCTCCCCCAGATCAGACCACATAGCATTATTTTGCACAGGCAACACATCAGAATGCCTGTCAGGGCTGTAAGTGCTGAATAGGCTCCACTGTCTCTAGCACATTGATCATTCTGCTGAGCCAGAGCAAATTTAATTAGTTTATTTTAAAATTCCTCTGCATCCTGCGGGTGGGTAAAATCAATGCAGGCTGGAGCCTCATTTCTACAGAGCTCATTTAATGTAACTAATTACTGCACAGAGGTGAATGGTGTGCTCTACCGAGGATCTGTGCTATAGAATGGAGAAGTCACTTGATATTAATTCACTGTCAGAATTTTATGAAACCTTCCCCTTCAAGATGTAATATTTAGGAAGCAAAACCTGTCAGATGTTTCAGAACAAAGCTAAATACAAATTAAAGTAATTGGTGAAAAACTGTAATTAACACAGCCTGTTGCCAATAACATGGAGCGCGTGTGCACACAAAGCCTACAGTAAAGGTATATTATAAGGCTAAGTCAAGCACTTGAAAATTAGGAAATGCCTGAGTTGCGGTTACCTGTGCAACCTTCATTCAGGTGCTGGTGCATTTGTTTTGATAGTCCTTAATTACCTGATCACATATAATTTTATTTCTATTTTTTCATCATTTTTAACATGGTCCAACCAACATATATCTCTCTACTTTCATTCTTGGAAATGGCTGACATCTTTTGCTGAATCTTAAAAAAAGAAAGAAAGAAAGAATAACCTAAGACAGACATCTGGCCTGGAAGATTTGAATGTAAAAGGCTGAAATTGGGCAATATTTTAAGCAGTTGACATCTGGATTAATAATAGGAAGTGCTGGGAACTATAGGTATGGACACCTCTACCCATAATGTACAAAGTAGGTTCTCAAATGTACATATGGCAGTTCAGTAGCTGACGCCACTGGTGAGCAGTGATAACTTTGGATCCCAGCTACCTGTTGTACTTTAAAAAATCTCCTTTCTGTCCTTTACTCAAAGATCTAGCTAAGAGAATAAGGGAAAGGTATCTATGAAAAAGGTGCACTTGTGGTCCTTTAAACCTGCTAATTATCATGGGGCCAAAACATTTCTTCAAATAAGTAAAAGGGTGTTTGGGGAGTACTACAGATATTGTCATAACCTATTCATCTTAAGCTTGTTAATGGCTACCATTTTACAAGTGAGGAAGGAATAGTTTGAAGAAAAGATTTGAAATAGAGCTCTAGGGCCATATCTTCGGCTGCTGTGAACTGATGCCACCCCATTGCAGTCAGTGAAGCTTTAGAGTTTTACCCCAGCTGAGGTGTGGTCCAGAACATCGGGAAGCAGCCCTCGACCTGTCCCCATTTGACAAAAGGCTTTGGTATCAGCTGGGTTGGCTTCAGACAGGTTCCAGGCTTCTGTATGAGGGCCAGCATGAAGACTGCTCCTTGTTGGCCCCCTGACATCTACATTCAAAGGAGGTGGGCAGAGCAAAGGATCTGAGCTACTATGCCTTGATTGACCAGATTTTAAAAAAATATTAATGAGACCTGATCAGAGCTGTTATGATGCATTTACACTAAATTCAAACTGAGCCAGAATTAAATATATTTGTTTATATTTTTGTACAGGAGCCAGAGAGTCTTCCTGGTTCTTTAACAACTGGACACAGCAGCCTTGAACCTCTACCATCTGTTTAAAAAGGTAAGACTTTTTCACAGGGGGTCTCATGTTTTCACACAAAGGGTAGCTCAACTAAATGGGAGAATTCATGAAAGGAAGTATATTTCATTTTACTGAGCTCATGCCTTTATTCCCCATTCTTTAATTTTATTAAAAACCTTTATATCTTGTTGGTGGGAGCTATCATATCCACAGCAGTCTCAACATATGTCTTCCCTTAGCTTAACAACAACCATATGCATAGCTCTTCTGGAAAAGACATGAGACTGGTTTATTAATAAAGGGAGAGAATACAAAAGAGGTGATAGTGCTACTGTGAGAGGCGCTAATTTGACCCTATCTGGAATACCATAACCAGGAGTTCTGATGAGTCATGCCATTAGGAAGGATATTTGATGACTTGGAAAAGACAGGGTAAGGACAACTGTAACATTACCTGGTCTTCGAAATTTAAAATGATGAGACTAATTAAGAGATCTGGACTTCTCTTTGTCAGAAAAGAGGGAACTTTGAAGAAGTCTGGTTTTTAGAACTATGAAGAAGATTGATAAGCACAGTCTGTGCTGCCCATGTTCTGGGGATAAAACAGAGCTATTTGTTTTCCCATGCTGCTGCCATATCTGATTATTCAGCACAGTTTAAATTACAGGCAAATGTAGTCCTTGCTTACGCTGGCAAATGAGTTCAGAATCCAAAGGGTAAAATATTAAACTTTTAGAACTAGTACATTTGCACTAAGTGGTTCCATGCGAAGGTGAATGCGGAGATCAAATCAGTTTCTCATTGAGACTGGTAGAGCAAAATCTGAGCATGTACTGCCTCACTCCTTGGGTACCTATGAAGAATGCTAAACAGGTTTGGGCAGCACTGGATACCCCTCTGCCAGTACTTCACATAGGTGTAAATGACTGCACCAGATACAGCTCAGTAGAGATTACCTTCATTGGCATTAATGCGGTTTTGCCAGTTTTCAGCAGTTTCCTCAACATAGTTCTTTTGTGAAATCAAATTTAAGAGATTGTTATAGTAATTAATAAAGAGGAAGTAAAAGAAACTATCTACTAGATCACCAGGCAGCAAAGGCAGGTTTGGTTTTGATGAAACCCTCCAACTAGTTTTCTGGCTACAGTTTTGATTTTGCAAACCCAGGAGTGAATTTGGTTTTCAATTGGTGGACTACAGAATTACACAGTATTTACATCTTACAAGTTTTCCCTGATGACTTGTGACTAAAATAATGCCCCTCCATCTCCCTTAAAGTAATCTGCGCCCTGTTTTTCAGGCTGCCAAGAGAATTAAAGATTAAAGAGTAAAAAATGCAAACATCAGCCAGAGCATTAGAAAAATGCAAGTATGGTGGTTGACACTGAAGAGAAAACACTTTAATTGCTTTAATAATATAAGAGCAAATGTCTCACTCACTTTCTCTCTCTTCCTTCTTCCATATATATGCATCTTGTAAAAAGAGACAAACACAAAACCAAACTCAGTTTGCAGAACTATGTAGAAGAACATCCACAAATCTAGAAATTTTCAGAAATGCCAATGAGCAATCCATATCTGCATTTTTTTTTCTGAAACACTCCTGTCCCTACAGGTTTTGAAATCAGAGACCAAACTTGGCCTATCTATGAAGGGTTGCATGAAGCTTCTGCATAAGTACCAGTCACACACACTGCACTCCCCATCCTTTCCTTCTGAGCATATGCCACATGAGACACACCATTAGGGGCCAAGGGAAGCCAGGACACTAGTCCCCACACTCTCTGCACCATCTGGCTTGAGTCACAGCTGCTGCCAGTGCTTCTTGTGGGTCAGTGCCAACATGTGCTTGCCAGGCACGATTTAGTCCTAAATAACATGTAACATTATTTTCATAAGAGCATTTGTTGCATCTCAGGGTATTTTTTGCTAATATGTGAAGGGACACAGTGTGCTACCCCTGAGAAACACAGTAATGAAAGTCCAGCCCAGCAGGATGAATGTATCCTCTGGATTCTAAGCCACCACAGGGCAGAAGCTGCCACCAGCTTATGCCTTAGCTTAGTTCAGTCCCTACCAAGGCTGCCAGTGGGAAACTGAGCAGTGCAGAATCTTCATCAGACTGGGTCTGTGCCAGCATCTGCTGGAGTGGTAAGTGTGCAAGGCTGCTAGCAGTGGTTCTGAATTACTGCAGCAATTTTCCTGTGGACTCTGCAACTCCAGTGTGGCATCTGTACACAAGGATGAAGGCCAGAATTAGCTAGTAAGACTTTAAGTAAAGAATAGGTGGGTGCATGGTCCATATCCTTTGCTTGTTACTTGCAGTCCACCAGAGATAAAATATACCTCCATAATGTATCATTTATGCATGCATTGTCTCTTATACATATAAATATGAAGATGGCTCTTCATGTCCTGCCTCTAACTGATCAAACTAAATTTCTGCTCTGGAATTTAGAAAATAGGTACTTTGAGAATTTCATTGCGTTTTTACTGAATGTAGTGCCAGAGCAGACAGCAATTTTAGTAGTACACAATTTCTTTTAAGAATCTTATGAAACTCTAGCACTTTTTGCTAGATCTAGTTCACTGAACTAGGGTTAAAGAGAAAATAATGCAGCTGTGCCATTTTTACAGCTAAGAATTT